CTGCCATTCCCAATGCTGCCATTCCCAACTCAGTAACGTGTTCCTTAGTGGCTAACGGGTGTCTATAAGCATTCATGTCCCAAGGAGGCTGTAAATCCTGGCTTGTTTGATGGCCTAAAGCATGGGTCTAGAGCAGGGCAAAACACAACCCATCACCTTTCTCCACCTTTCTCTGCTGAAATATCGGTTGCATTTCAGCTGCATCCCCGTGGGAACGTGCTTCGGGATGACGAGGGATCAGGTGGGATCGCGGTCTGCGTTTCTCGAGGCCCGGCTGATCCAGCAGCTCCCCGGTTCCTCACGGGCGCCGCGCCGGGGCTGGCGCGGCTGACGCAAGGGCTGGGGACACCACGGTGGTCTCACACACCCGAAAAGGAGAGCGTGTCCCGGGACACGGGCTCTTCTCGGGAGCGGGACCTGGTGCGGCRGCTCCGCGGAGCCCCGTCCGTGGGGACCCTGACCCTGGCCTCGGCTCGCCCCACGGCCGCGGCCTCCTCCCGCCATCCGGCTGAGCCGGCGCCGTCACCGGAGCCGCCCCGCGCGCCGTGCGGGAACGCTGCCCGGCCTCGAGGGCACTGCCCCGCTGGCCTCGCTTTCCTCCTGGTTTCGCCTTGCCCGGGCCTTTGTTCCCAACTTCGGGGCACGTCCCGACTGCCGGCAACTTGCTCTGTCGCTCGGGTGGGTGACAGCGCGTGGGCGCTGAGTTCCCCGCGGTCGCGTCCTGACTGTGAAATGGAGCCTTTCATCTACGGATACATGACGATAACGCGATGGAGGAAAAAGGAACGGTCTTGGTTCTGTTTCAGACGAAAGGGCAGCGATTTTCCGACTCGCCAGCAAACCGAGAAAACATCTGCCTGGCAGCCGAGGCAGCGCTCAGCAATTCCGTGCTCCGAAGGCCCGGAACAACCCGGGCTCCGTAAGCRGAATAATCCAGTTTCAGGACATCAAAGGGAAAAGCTCATCTTTATTAAAACTGCTTGATTCGAGTAACATGGAAACTGCATTAATTCTGAGAAAGACAAACAAAACCCACACAATTACATGGGGAATAGTTATGTTTCTAAATTGGAGCCAGACTTCAGCTTTTACATTGTGCTTCTACATTGTTGGAATCTGTCTGCGTTGATAGCTTCTAGCATTGTTAGTGCTTTGGCATTGCTAGAATCTGTCCAAAAGCAGACAAAAGTAAGAACAATGAAAGAAAGGCACCCTAGGTAAGGAACACTGCTGCAAACGCGGCATGTGCAGAAGCCAAGAAGGCTTGAGGGACTGGGAGAAGCTGCGGATCGTTTAAGAGCTACGTAAACACTGAAGCCCGAATGACTTCAGTCTGCCCAGGCAAAGACTAACGTGGCCTTTCATTGATTATTTCAGTTTCTTTGGATTGCAAGGATCGGAATGGATTCCTAATGTGCCGGCCACGTCCTTACAGAGCTGGGTACCTGGGGTCTTTCCTGATGGCACCAAGTCTTTAGAAAGCAGAAATTTGTTCATTATTGAGAGGGAAAAAAAGGAAATGTTTCCGAGCGTCGGGCTGCTTGTGGGTTAAYGGGTGAGCAGAGCTGGGTGTCGCGGGCCGTCCGGAGTGTCGGGTTGGTGTTTGCCAGCCCCGCAGCGCCCGGTCGGGCTTTCGGCTTGGTCACAGCCTCGTGGGATGCAGCTCTGCTCACGTCTCCACCAGGCCCGGCTGCGGGGCGCCGACGGTCGCAGCCAAGCGAGCTCTCCGTCGAGATCCCAGTCCACRCCAGCGTGCACAATGGCTTGGGGAACTCAGCGGAGAGCCCCAAGGCCACCCGCTTCCAGGCAGCTCCCCGCAATCACCGGGAGCTGAGGAAGCTGGTGGGGCCGGGGACACGAGGGAGACTCCCTGCGGGATGCGCTGTGGCCACACGGGGTTGATATTCCCAGCATTTCACGGGCGAGCAGTATCTGCGAGGGTAAAACGCGTAGCGCGACCTCGAAGATGGCATTTTCTTTGTAAGCTTCGTGCAGGACACGTGCAGGCCAAGGGAGGGGGAAGCATGTGGTGCTTCTCCTAACTGTTCCGAGCAGTCAGGCACACCGGGGCTAAACACACAACCACACGGATGCTGCTGGATGCAGAGGCGTGTCTAGGCTTGCATTATCCCGTCTGTTCGGCGTTTCCGGCCCTGTCCGGGAGCGGCGGCGGTTCCAGGCTCCGCGCTCCTGCCCCACTGCCCCCCGCACCCGGGGCCGCCCTCCCTGACGCCCCCGCGCCGCGCTCCGCCATGACACCCCCTCCTTCCCCCGCCAACGGCTCCGCGAGGCCCCGCCCCTTCCCCGCCCCCGCCTATGGGCCCCGCCCCCGCGCAGCGGAGGCCACGCCCCCTACGAGGCGGCAGCCAATAGGGGCGCGCGCGGCTCTGGCGCGGGGCGGCGGCGCGCGCCGCACTCGCGTCCCGACCGTTGCCGGCGCCGCTGCCGCGTCGTCGCGCCCCGGAGCCGGTGAGCGGCGGCAACGGTCGCCCCTGCGGGAGGGGAGGGGAGGGGAGGGGAGGGGAGGCGGTGGCGGAGCCGCGGGCTTTCCGAAGCCGCCGCGACCTCCTCCAGCCCGCGCGGGGTGGGCGGCACCGCGCGGGCGTTGGGGGTTCGCCGGGGCAGCTGGTGCGGGAGGCGGCTGCGGGCTCCGCGTCTTGCCTTCTCTGTTGTGGTTATTTTATTGCGGCCTTCCTATCTCGAAAGCTGCGTTTTTAGGTAGGAAAATGGAACCGACATGTCAGCTTCAGCGCTGCAGCGGGAAGGGCATCTTTGGGAAGGGAGGCCTGTAAAGCAAGGTCAAGTTAAATACTTGAAGTCCAAATCGGCGGTTCCCAGCCCGGGGCGGCCGCTCCCTTTGGAGCTCCGCAGTCCGTAGGAGGTTGTAGGAAGCCGCTCACTTCCTTGCGGCGCAGCCTGGGCAGGAACAGCGAAGATGTGCTCACTCGTGTCCTCACCCTGCCCTTCTTCCCGAACGCAGCGGGGTTTTCCCGGGACCTCTTGAGTAACCGCTTCTCTTTCTTCTTATTATTTTTGGAGTACCTCCCTGACAAAAAATACTAAAAGAAAAAAAAAAAAAGTTGGGAAATTGCGACTCGTTATGAGTGAGAGCGGTAACAGGAAGCTGTGTTGCAAGAGCAACTTGAGGGCCCCCTTTTTCAGGGCGTGTTTTTGCCGTTCCTGCCGCCGTGGCCTCCCGCTGTCCCCGCGCGCTGCGGCGGCGCGACCTTTCCCCTACTTCCCGCCGCGGTCACGTGGCGGCGCGCGCGCCCGGCGGCCGTTGGGAAGGGCGGGGCGGCCCAACGGACGCGCCCTGCGGGGGGGGGGGGACCTGTCCCCAAGGGGGCACGGGCGAATATTCATTTATTTATTCCATTCTTTGGCCATTTATTTATTTACCGCTTTCTTTGGAGCCACCGGCGGGTGGCCGGGCTCCTGCCAGGAAGTCTGCCTGGCCTCCTGCTGCGTGTGGAGAGGATGGGATGGGGGAACGGGGAAAGGCGCCTWGAATTAAAAGGTGACCTAGGTCGCCTAAAATATTTATGTAAAATAGTTAAAAAAATACCATGCAAAGCTCTGTTTGTTTTCCTTGTACTTCACAAAGACATTGCTCCTGTGGTCTGACTCACTGTGTCCAAGCCCAAATCTCCAGACGTTAAGGGGAACTAGATCTAAACAGTTGGAAGGCAGGTCTCTCTCTCTCTCTCTCTCTCTCTCCTGTCGGGGTTAACCTTTTGAAAGGCCGATTTAAAGGCTGGTGAAATGTTTGGCTGTGGCTCTGCAGCTGCCCAGCCTGGCAGGTATGGTAAATAATGGGCGCAGGTTGCTGCGAGAGCCGTGCGTTTTGCCTGCCTTGAGTCAGCAGACACTGTGGTCCGTGCTTTAGGGCTATTGAGTCCTGGGAAAACGGGCACCTGGCATGTCGGGTCGAAGTGCTGCCAATCTAGAAATATTACTGTGGAAAAGGAGGTAAAAGCCATAATTCTCCTTTACTGTGTGCGTGTAGAAGTAATTTGTGCAAAGGGAGAGAAAACTGGTAACATTACAGGAATCTCAGTGCCCCAGGTGTGTCTTTTATAACAGCAGTTAAAAAAAGTAACAGCCTAGAGCCTAATTTGGAGGTGTTTTTTTTTCCCTCTGCATAGCACCATAGCTGTGTAGTGCTTTGTGCTTGTGTCTTACTCAGCAGGATTATTCTGAATTTCTAGAAGGTCAGAAGAGATGCCTCWTGCATGGATTTGTGCAGTGTAACATGCATTGAAATACAGGCTAGAATAATATCCCCCAAAATCTAGGAAGAGTACAGTATGCCCTACTCTGTGTTTAGCAAGGAAATTGGTAAGTAATATGACATCTGTAAAAGTTTCTGCTTTGGATGACAGCCATAGAGCATGTCAGTGTTTTAGAGGTTAGTAATCTTTTGTGTTAAGCCAGTAATTAAAGCTCTGCAATAAACTGTCCTTTCTACACTCCTTTTTTGCCGAGGGTCTCCAGTCTGATCCGGTGTGGGAAGATAGCTTGCTCTCCAGGCCTTTCTGCCTGAGGTGCCGATGAAAGCAGGCTGTCTGGGAACATTCCTCTGTCGAGAAATCTTTATGGGATCTGTGTCGGCTGTAAGGAAGCTTCAAGCCTGAAGGCCAGGGATTGTGTTTGAATGTCTTAATCTGCAAGCTGAAAGCAGTCAACCTATCTAGCTTTGAAGATCACCTTGCTTACTACTCCAGTGTTCTAGAAAATAACTGAGATGGTTTTTTTTAACCCCCCCCCCCTTTTTTTTTTTTTAACTGTCTCTGACTTGTTAAATGAAAACGGACCAATCCAGAGGGTACATTCATCCAGTGTGGTTGAAAATACTGTTTCAAGACTACTTTTTGTAGCTATTCTCTGGCAGCAACTTTTCTTAAACTGTTCTGGTTCTTGATCCAGTTCCTCTAGACAGTTAAAAGCTGGGTGTGGATCCGAACTTAACCTGTTTTCTCTTGACTTTCTCTTTCAGAGCTGCCACAGAGAGCTTCTGTTGCTGTGGTTGAATGGATGCTAGCAGTTAATAGTGTTGGAATGAGCCTGCCTCTTACCGTGCTAACCTGAAGCTCAAGGTTCCGGCCGCGGTCAGTGAGATTCAGGGGAGGCTGTTTCCGTGCGACAAGAACAACACCCCAGCACTCGAGAGGAAGACAGAGCTGTGCAGGTATGTGTGTGTTACYTTCACTCTCTCTGCCTGTGGGAGACTGGGATTTCTGTTTTCATCTCTTTCTTTCCTGGTGCACCTGCTGCCTTATCTTACCCTTTGCACTGTTCCTTTTCACCCTCCCCAAAGATTCCAACAGAAATCCCTGCAGCAGGTATCTACTATCCATTCGCATGTGATCTTGGAAAACTGCTGAGGACAGGACACAAGCCGATAGCCTGTTCCTGTGGTTTTCCCAGTGGGACAGCGAGTCCCTGCAAGCTGTTCGGACATTGGCTGCCTGCTGCGGATGAGGTTTATAAGTAGGACCCACTGTTGCTGTGCCTGGAGAAATAGGTTTTATTCTCTTCAGTTTGTCTTGAGCCAGAACACTACACATTTTTAGATACAAGTAACTTAAAATACTATGCTTCCAAGGGACCACTGCTCTTAGCTGTAGGGGAATTTGGGTCTACTAATGTGACTTTGAGGACCTTCTGAGAGAGACCTCTCGCATAAGAGGTCTCATCATATGCACGTTTTGGGGAACTGGAACCTATTATATTTTCCATTGCATGAGAACCTGTCAGTTTAATTTCATCCRAAGTGAATGGTAATTGGTTGAATTAATTCAAATTTTAAAGGTAAGTGATTGTTTTCTATTAATGTTTATACCATAGCCCTTAGGTTCACCTATGTCAATGTAAGTTCTCATTCATATGAGTGTTTACTTGACCTTGTTTCTTTCAGGCTTCTTGTTATGAATTGGTGCACCTGTAGCCTTATTAGAATATAGTTAATTATTGTAAAGTGAATTAAAGTCTTATCTTTTTGATAAGACTTGAACAGCAATGATCAGCCTGTCCCTTTATAAGCTGAATAGCATGATTAGATATTACTGAAGGTTAGTACGCAAGGAAGCTGTTTTGAAATAGGAATTCTTCAGAGAAATATGTCTGGTTAATCTTTATAGTAAGTTCAGAAATCAGTGACTTCAGAATGTCACATGACCTGTGAATAAGCCATCCACTCTTTCTGAGGCTCTAGTGTCTTGTTTTGAAGAAATTTAGAATATGTTGCAAAAAGGTCATATTGGCTAGTAAAATACTCAATAGAGAGGTGTTTTTCAAGGCATCTATTTTAGTATTTGAACTAGATATATTTCCTACTATTTTCTAAAGATTTTGTGGCTCAAACCTCGGTTTTCCTTTGAAAGGCATCGTGACCTTTTTGGAAAGTTATGTGTCAATATATGAAATTGTAAATGGCTTTTTTTGCCTTTTTAATTAAATTGTATGGTTCTACTTTGAATTTAATTGTATTCAGCTGTGCATCAAAGGAGCCCCAGATACATGTGAATAAAAGACTTATTTATTGACACCCTTAATCATGTTTGGTTAGGTTACCTTTCTTGGAAATGAAAATTCTGCTGTAGTGCTAGAGGGTAGATTGTGTCGGGCAGAAGTGGGGAGCACAGATGTAAGAGCAGGTGAGACCTTGAGTTGTTGAGTCAGTGCTGAACATTGCTGTAGTGAGTGACTCTATTGCATTCATAGCAAGCTGAAAATGCTGCTAAAATCTCTCTGATTTTCTTGTCAAAGTAACAGTCTGCATTATCAATAGGAACTGTACCGGTTCCCTCATCATTTGGTGTAGTGTAAGTGGCATTTCAGGACAGCTCTTGAAATTTGCCTGCTACCTTAAGACTAGCTGACTTGCTGGACAACACAGTGCTTAAAATACACATGTGCAAAATCTTAATTTCTTTATCTTCCAAGCTAATGATATGTTATTCCTGGGCACTGAAAACCTATTTTTCTTGAATGTTTGCTGCCAATTTGACTTCTAAGTTGTGCAGTTCTTTGCACTGTTTTCTTGATGTACTGAGTTTATATGTTTTTTGAAGCAGTTCTAATACAACATCTTTGATATTGCATTACAAGAAGAATGTCTTGATATGTTTACAATTAGAACTTTTTTTTTGTGTTTATATGCAGCATGAGCAGTGCTAATCATGACTTGGGAGTTTTATTCTGGATCTGCATGTAATTTTTTTACAAGTATTGATGAGTGGAGTCAATGTCTATTGTTTTTGTTCCCTTGATGGCATTTAGGATTTTGGGAGTGTCCAAATACATTTGTTTCCTTTTTTCTTCTATAGGGATAATTTTCCTTCTGAAGCCATTATTGAAATACTAAACTTTGTATTTTTCCACATCTTCAAAGGTATTCCTCCATCACTTGTTTTAACATTGTTTCTTTTCTGCTGAAATGATATGCCCAGTATATGGGAGTGTTAAATACAGTGTTTGCTATAATGAAGAAAGGTCTTCTGTTTTGTGGTGTAAATGGTGCTTGTATTCTTCTCATTGGTTTGGGAAGTTCAGCTGTTTTAACACCAGGACACCAGGTTTCCCTTTACTAAAGGGGTGTGTGTGTGTGTGTGTGTGTGTGTGTGTGTGTGTGTGTATTTTATATATATTCCAGCAGACTCTGCAGTGGTAAATCTGCAGGTTGGACTCTTTTCCTCCTTTCTTTTTTCTCTTGTGTCCCAAGCCTTGAAATAAGTTTTGTACTAGTATTTTTGCACCAAACAGCTGGGAGGGTGTTAAATTGACAAACTTCAAATACTGTGGAGATTTCAGGCAGATGAAGACATACTTAGCAAATCTTGCATATGAAACTATCAAATATTTTTTGTTTGTCTCCACTTATTCTCGTTAGAATGAGAAGAGATCCTGATGTTTGGTATGATATTCTTGATACTTTTTGGTAACCCTTGTTACACAAGGGTTTAAACCTTTGTTTTACCTTCAATTTACACCCACTTCTGAGATCACTTTTTGGAGCATTAAGTTACCATGAAACTGCAGTTGGTGTCAAAGTGGAAGTGAACTATCATACTAGGAAGATATTTTTGGATGCTGGCACTGTCTTTGTGCTTCAGAACATGTCACTTTGTTGCCAGAAAATGTCTAGGCAAAATCCTCTGCCAGGAGTGTCATTGCTTGTGTGCCTCTGGGTAGGGACCACTGGAAGTTTGCACTGACAGAGGAGCATCAATAACAGAAATCTAAAGGGAAACTTGACACAGTGCATTAAAAGTCATAGATGCTTTCTCAGTCTTTGGAATTACCTTGCCCTTAATTTAGTTCTGGTGTGAAAACAACAGATTTGAACATAAACAATTATTGACTTAAACAGTTATTGAACATAAACAATTATTGTTGCTATTTATGCCTAATTTTGGTTTTTTTTTTATGAAAGTGGAAAATGCAAATTTCTGTAGGAATAAGAGGGTTACAAAACAGGCAAGAAGAAATACTTGATCACTGTCTTCTACAAAGATTCAGCAGAAGTGTTTTAGTGTTTTTTTCTAGTACTGGCTTTAATTTTGCTTGGTCTGTCTCTTGGAAGTCAGTAGTGTATTTGAAGAGGCTAAAATATTCTAGGAAGTGAAGATACCAGTGACTTGGGAAAGAAGAAGAAAGAGGTTTCTGCATTTGTTTCTTTCTGAAAGCTCTAGCCAGGTCAGCTCCTAGAGAGGGAGATTTAATTGGTTTCCTTCCTTAAAAGGAATGCATAGACGAGAAAATACCAGACAGAACTTTTTAAAGGTTTTCTGCTTTAATTACCTTTGAGTTTGAATTTGTTAAAGAGAACTTGAGATATCTTGAAATTTTTCCATATTATGTATGGATTCTTGTAACATTCCAACAGTAACTTCTTTACTTGTTGATAGAAATGTGTTTTTTCTTTTTTCTCTGCCTGTCTGAAGCAGTTTTAATTCAAAGGCATTGAGCCAATTGCTTGTTTTCCCGAGACCCTTCCTAGTTCAAAATGTCTAGCTTTAAAGGGCAAGCTTAATATCTCCCCAAACATTAGGACATGGGATGCTTCCTAACAAAAATTGAATTGAATGTACTTTTAACTATTACTCCTTTCCACTTTCCATCTGGAAAACAACCTTAAACAAAACAGTTTTAAGTGATCACTTTATTCTCACCTGTCTGTACCCCTATAGGCAGCTTCAGTGCCTCTCTGAGCTTCAAAGTTGTATGAGGATTTCAAGCAAGAAGCAAGACTTTTTTTTTTTTTTAAGGTTGGGTTTGCCTTTAAGGTGGAGGTTAAGCTGGTAGGAATTTGGCTGAAGGCGGGAGCCATGACCTCTAGCGCAAGATGTTTCTCAATGCTGTTTTTGTGATACCTCATGCAGGGCAAAGGTAAGGGCTTCCAGGTACTTCTAAGCCCAGCAGACTTTACGATGCAATGTTTTCCAGCTCTCAGCCTCGTGCTTACGGTAGCATGCAACCTGCCTACCATCTTGAGCAACCCGTGGCTGCTTTGGGTGCCAGAGATGGCTACATGAAGGCTCTGGCAGCGTGAAACCTGGCGTGGGGTAATGCATGGCAAGGCTTTCAGAGAAGCTGTGTGCAACGGTCACTGCTTTTCCAAGAAGTCTGTTAATCTTTGGTTGGTAAAGCAAAACTAAATCAATTGGCTTGTAAGTGGTGATCATAGAATTAAAACTCACCAAGGTTTTAGCTCTTCTGAGCCATGTGAATAGAATTTGTCATCTTGTTTCTTCCTCTGCATTTATTAATTTKCTTTCTTTGCAATAAAAATCAATTATGAATGCTAAAACTGAAATTACATATGTCTCTTTCCAGAACACTTTTGGACTCTATTAGTGAGAAGTGGCAAGGCTTGCCCCATTCTGAAAGACATTGCAAGCAGGAGAAAAATGTATGGAAGCAGATGACTAAAATTAGTTCTGAGAAAGGAAGTGACAGGAAGACCTATTTAAAGGTAGACAAGTGGCTTTTTCTGAGTGGAAGTGATGACTTTGTCTTACTTTCTCTTACTGGTAACTCATCGTGTCAATTTACCTATGTAAAGTTTATGCAATCTGTAGAAATGTGTAAATATCTTTAAGATACGTGTGGGAGTTTGTCTGTCTTCTAGGTCATCCATTCTGTATTATAGACTTCAGGGAGACATTCCCAATGACAACTGACTTTTTACACACCTGTTGAAATAGATAGAGCAACATGCTTTCCCCTCCTCCCCCAACTTTTATGTCAGTACTTAAGCTGTGCATTTTCTTGAGGGAAGCCTGAATTCCATTCAGTATTTTGTTTTTATCAATGGAAAAAATTGTGGTAAGTTTTGGCCGTGTTGCCGAGGAGTGCAAGAAGGGAGGAGGAGAATCTGCAGCTGTTACAACATGTTTGAGTAAAACTAAACCCAGAAGAGAATGAGGAACAGCTTAAAAAAGCCTCAGTGTTTTGAAAGAACACTTAGTCATGCAAATGACCATTCCAGGTAATTTCTCAAAATTGTACTTTATTTCTTAGCGATTTAGCCCAGGCCATAAGCTCTTGTTCGCATGTCGGTGTTGGAAAGAAGGTTAATTAGCACATGCTGCAGAGCTGCTTTGCTGACCAGAGGCTCGGGGCAGGAAGCAGCTCTTGTTGGGTGGCTCGGGGCGGGCTGCCGTGGGCGCTGCGGGCCCTGCGCGGCGAGTCGAGCTCCCGGGTCGGCGCGTGCGCCTCGCGCCTCTGCCCTTTCCCCCACTTGGCCAGSCGGCAGCGACTGCGCAGGAATGCGGCGGAGGGAAGTGCGCAGCAGCCTGCGATTAAATCGGCCTCTAGGAGCAAAAGAAGCAGCCAGAGAAAGACTCCAGGAAGTCTCTTGCTGCTCTGCCATTGTAATTCGGATAAATAGTAGTCTTGGCTCAGGCTGTTTAAGAAAGAAAAAAGGAACAAATCATACGTGTTCGGTTGGGTTCTTTTTATTTTCCTTTCCTGTAACTTTCAGGGCTGCTAGACTTATGCACTACTAGAACTAGACCTATCTGTTTTCAGGGTTTGCTTATTTGATTAAGGATTAATTCTAATCACATGAAGGCTCTATATTTTGCACTTTGAGGAATGAGAAATGAATTCCTTATGGAAGCTCATTTCGTTTTACAATCAGATTAAACTTGAGTTCATTAAAACTTTGGTTTGAGACTATCACTGTGCTTTATGATTAATACTTTTTTTACTATCTTTCTTAATAGAAATGTTTGTGCAAAAGAGGGAGGAAGTTCATAAAATTCTTTCTCTTCAGAAGCAGAGAAGCTGATAGTTACAAATGTCCAGGCTGCAGCGTCTGAGGGGAGTTGAAGGATAATAGAAAGTAGCTGATGCAGTGCCTAGAGCTCCCCAGCATGTAAAATTCCRTTAGTGAGCTAGAGAACCAGTTGGTTGTTCTTGAGACAAATACAAGGGCTTGGTTWTTCCATAGAGATAAGGATTTCTTTCATTTTCTTGTTTTGTTCTTATATCCCACTCCTTTGTCTTAATAGTACCACTAAGCATATAACGAATTCAAGGTTTAAGTGCTGTTCTTTTTGCCATCCCTGTTGCACCCAGGTTCTGCCATGTGATACTGCTGCCTGRTGCTGTTCTGTTGCTGTCTTGTAGCTTTGGGCTGGAGCCGGTGATGCCCGGTTGAAATGAATGGGGAGACAGCAGACTTTGACTTCCTGATACTTGTCTACTGCAGGACTCCTATGAATAAGCTGTCATTAATGACTGAGTCACTAAGTCCTACACGCCGCAGTTGTCACTAGGACACGCAGGGCTGTCTTCAAGGACTTGTGGTTTTGCATTCAGTGCTCATTTGGTTCCTCTGATGTCCTGATTCAACTCTGTGTGTGCACAAATCTAATTGCAGGTTGCCTGTAGGTTGCTGTGAGCTTTAGCTGCGTTGCTGAAACCAGGATGACAGGACTCTCGATTTCAAAAACTTAAGCAGTGGCTGGTGGGTTTGAGGGATTGGTGGATTGCCATCAGCCACTGTAAACAGCAGGTGTGTTGCTGAGGTTGATCTCTGCAAGCTGATCGAGGGACAGGCACTTTCAATATTACAGGTAATCACTTTCTGTTGCCCAACTCCCAACTGCGCAACATCACTTAACCTAGTCATTTCTGCCTGGTGCTCTCTTCCTGTGTTCCCTGTTTATTTTCTAGACCTGCTATCATGGCAAGATTTCCAGTACTTACATTTCCTAACTGCCTACTTGTGCACTTCTGCAACCCTTCACTGACCCAGAAGATTTTGACACAGTAGGATATTTACAGTGTGGGAGCAGTCATAATAGATGTTTTTTGAAGTGCCCAGCTGGTAACTGCACTTGGCTGCATGCCCTCACCAGCTGTTTAAAAAGAATAAAATACCAGAAATCAAGATGCCTAGCCTACAGGTTTGCAAACACTTTGGTCRCAGTGGTCTCCTGCAATGTGTGCTTTGAACCTTTCCAATATTATAGTTACAGCCTTTTCGACATACTGGTTTTCTGTGTTCTGAATATAGGTATTGAACAACATTTCTATGAATTAGTATTGAGCAGAAATAACTTTCAGGATATTTTTCTAGAGGTACTGATCACAGAAGGAAATTGTGCCACAGATGAGTGGAGAAAGTTCATTTCAAGTACAATGTATTGTCAATGTATTTGAGGCATATATAGGCACCCTAGACCCCATTTGTTTTAACTGCTAGTGTTCTCCGTTTGAGCCTGCCTGCTCTGCCTGCTTATTATGATGGTCTCTTTTCTGTGTTAGCACGATTGCTGTGCTTTTTCTCATTGTTTGCGTAGTTAAATTGAGCAGAAGCTGCAGTCAATTTCCTCTTCACTCAGCTTCAGATTTGTTTATGTGAAGGCCATTTTTCTGATAGTTGTGATTTCATTTCCTCATTTCTGCTCAGCTTTAGTTTGACTCTAAATTGTCAGCAAAACCATAACTAGAATAAAGCGCTTTCTGTATCTCCTTTGTTGCTATAGAATGATAAGTTTTCTACCCATATAGCCTTTTTCCAAATACAGCTTTAGTCTTTTGTTCTCATTTACGCTCTTACAAGCTTTCTGTATGCCCAACATTTAACTGGCTGATATTGTGCCAAAATGCTATGTTACCTCAAAGTTTTGGTTCTACTTTCAGCAATTCACGTTAAAGGTGGTAACTTAATCAGCTGGAGGCGAGGCTGAAGTGGGAAGCCTGTGAGGAAGAGGGTGGTGTCATACATAAGTCTGATATACTTTAAGAGGTTACCCATAAGAACCGAGCGCATCAATGATTGATACTTTACTGCAAAATGGTGATCACCTAGTTCCTATGAAAAAAAGGAAGAAATTTAAATTTATTTAATTTATTTTTGTTTTTTTTTTTTGGCAGAACTCTCTCTAAAAATGGCAGAAGCCCATCAAGCGGTAGCATTTCAATTTACAGTAACTCCAGATGGGATCGACCTGCGTATGAGCCATGAGGCACTCAAACAAATATACTTATCTGGTGTCCATTCATGGAAGAAAAAGTTCATCAGATTCAAGGTATTTAAGACAGTTGCAGTCAAACCTACTATACTTGATGTTTGTTTAATATTTTATAATCTTTCTAGAGTTTTTGTTTAAGAAAAATCTATATGACAAGTGAGAGTTCTTACTGTGAAATACTTCCATGGTCTTTGGAAAAAAAAAAAAAAGGAAGGCTGAGAAGGGTAATACTGGTTAGTGCTGTGCTAAAATAACAATGTGAAGGCTGAAAAGATGCCTTCTTTTGGTCCCTTCTGTGGAACCGATATGATACAAATGACGGTTAATTGTGACTTTAACTTAATTCATTCTTGATTATATTTAATATAAGTCATAAATGCAACTTATGGGGAGAAGARAGTAAAGTTAGATCACACATAAAGAGGTATGAGAATATACCCTTTCTGTAAGTGCTCTTTACAGGAAATAGGATTTGAAATTGAGAATTGAGTACTTTCAGGTAATTTTTTGAATATTTACAAGCTATGCAAAGTAGTAATGTTTCAGCTGTGTGTTATGGATATAAATGCAGCTGTCTGAGGTACCATTTATGGTTTCATCTGTTTTATTAATAGTAGCAAAGATTACTTCATTATTTTTTCAAATATTTACACCTTAAATGTAGTCTGCTTAAAAAATGTCTGTTTAAATGGCATAGAAAGACCTGATTGTAACTTTCAGTATCTTGGTTAGCAGAATATTTTTGCAGTGTATAATATTCATTTAGAAAATCTGACTCTGTGCAGGTGGGGACTACTTTAGAACTGCTTGTTCTAAAGAAGCTCTCCAATTTTGATGTTTTTAGCCAGGACTCATGGGCAGAATGAGTATTTTCTGCAAAGAAACTTGAAGGTCCTCTTATTCTATTCCTGATATCATTCTGATGATTTTCTGCAGCATAGCTCTTTTTTATTGCTCCAGTAGTTAAGCTCCACTATATCCATTCCCTACCTTATGAGCTAAGCAAATGGAAGAAAATGTTGGATAATCCTAACTTCTTGTTTAAAACTGAATGACTTGAATATGTTGATCTTCTTTGTTTCTTTCCATGGTAATATGAAGTCAACCACTTTGGTATGAAAAAATTATGTGAAGGCTTTTCTTTCCAGAATGGAATTATCACAGGCGTTTATCCTGCTAGCCCATCTAGCTGGCTTATTGTAGTTGTGGGTGTGATGTCTACAATGTATGCCAAAATTGATCCTTCTTTAGGAATAATAGCTAAAATCAACCGAACCCTTGATACAACGTAAGTAGACTGGCATCTTACATTATTCCTCTAAACTGCATCAATTTGATTTATAATGACTCTTCTGTAAAGCCCACTGAAGTGCAGTCAATATTTGAACAGCATGTTTGTGACAGAGTAAGCTTAAGCGAAACAGTCTAGAGGTGTAGAATGTGTAGCTTGTTACACCAGTATTACTGCATTTTTATTTTTTTAATGAGCATTTGAGTAGCACAGTTGGCAGCTTCTGATGTCTTTGTTCTTGCTAGATGAGAGGATGCTTGGCAGAATGTATTAAAAGGGGACAAGCTAGTATGAAGCTTGTGTAATGCCTACCTGCTATATCAYGGGGCTTAGGGTGGCACTGTTAAGTTCACGTTAAACATAAACTGACATTAACTGACACCTGCTGGCTTTTGTTTTAAATAGAGGCTATATGTCAAACCAAACACAGAACATTGTGAGTGGAATACTTTTTGGCACGGGGCTTTGGGTGGCCCTTATTGTCACAATGCGCTACTCRCTAAAAATGCTGCTTTCTTACCACGGCTGGATTTTCGCTGAACACGGCAAACTTTCATCAGGCACCAGATTATGGATGGTAAGGATGTATTGACTTTTTGTACCTTAACTTCTATCTGATCTATATTCAAACCCTTAAAGGGGCCGCTATGTTTTCCCCTTCTTTATTGTTCTTTGTATGAGATGGGAATGGCATGCTGCTAGGTTGAAATTCTAGTAATTGCTGTCTCACTTTTGATGCTATAATTAAGTTACTCAGAATAGCCTTGTAGAAGAAAGATACTTGAAAAAAATCACTTTTATATTTGACAGCACCTTGGGACTGTATGACTCAAATACCTACTTTTTCTCTATGTGCAAATACAGTGAAATGTGTGGGATGCAGTCACAATGACAGTCTGCTCCAGGAAGTGCCACCCTAATTCTTTGTTGATGTTGAAGTGTTGGGATTTCCAACATCCGCTCTACACACCATTATCTTTCACTTTATCGAAAGCTGTAGTTTACTTWAAATGTGTTTTTCTGGCCTGTAGAACCTGAATATGCCTGACCTAAAAGAGTTGGTGGTGGGCTCAAGTATTCTGTGTTTTTGTCYGAGAGCCCGAGGGCTATTTTGAAAGACTGCATTTAACACAAAGCAGTTTGCATTAAAGTTCTTCTTTATTTTGTTTCTCTGATTAGTCTTCTTTAGTGATGTTGTACTAAATCCTTTCAGTCTAATAACTGATATCCATCTTATTGAGAATGGGTGACTTCAGGTGTATGTGGGAACAGTGGCGGAGATGTTTCTTAACAGGATGAGGTTAAATAGATATGGCTCTGGTTGATTATGGTGCTTAGGAAAAGGGTTTAAGAGGCTGTCATTTCCCTAAAAGGGTGTAGTGGGGATTAAGTGATGGAGTATACATCCTGGTCATCCTGGTACACCTAAGGATAAAGAGAACTTTTTATTATTCAGACTCACTCAGAATTCTTTCTCCAATACTGTAGGAATGATTTAGCATCCTACAAAGACAAAGTTCGTCCCCACAGCCTCAAAATTTGAATTGATATGTTAGGCTAACAGAATGTGATGATTTATTATGGGAAGTGTTCAGTAATGAGCATACAAAATAATACACTAAACTGAGTGTAGTGTTCATTTGTCATAAATGAAATTTCTAATCAATAGTTTCTCCTGGAAGTGATATCAGGAGCCCCATGACTTGAATGTGTACAGTAGAGGCTCTGAATGGTAAGGCTTCCTGTCAGTTGCTTGATGTTCTCACTGTCTGGGTTTTCAGCATGTCCTACCAAATGGATATTCTAAAGCTGTTAATTTTCTGTATAACACCAGCCTTAAACAGTGTGAACTGTGATGCTGCTTACCATGTTATGCCATTTATTGTATTTCCAAGTTCTTAAGAAACTTTTTTATTGATTTAAAATGCAGAGGTCTGTTAACCTCTTGATATTCTGTGATTTGTTGAAAGGGTTTGTTTATTTTTATTCTTATTTATTTTTCTTAGCTGCTTAGTTTCTCTGATTAAAAACCTGAGGAACTGTTACTGTGAAATTACTGTCCTCTGTTCAAACAGTCAAGCAGCTGGAAAAAAACAGGCTTTGAGCTTAGTCACAGGGCGAAGTTTTTTCCAGGCTAGATGGAAATCTGGTGTCGCTTTTAAGGAAAATGTCTATTCTTCCTAATAAGCTAAATTTCATGTAGGAGTGGTGTGTGTGTATGTAAGAAATCCAGTGTGGTTCAAATAAATAAAATGCCTGCAAACAGATACAAAGACCACTACAATAAGATCATTTGCCATGTCTGGAGTCTGGATAGGAAATCAGGGAAGTTAAATATGTATATTTGAGACCAACAAGGTGATTTGATACACAAACTGTTATATTCTCTAGTATAAGTTTTACTTAAGAGATGAGAGCAAACTTTTCAAGATATTTAATGTCAGTTGATCCAGGTACCCTCTTTCTGCCTGATAAAATTTCAGACTTGCATGGCTTAAGTGTTCAGATTAAAGCTATTCCCTTTCTGCATGAACAGTGGTGGAAAACAGCTTTTCTTATGACAGTGTGAGCTGTCTTTCTGATGTGACTTTAAACATGTCTTGTCATGAAGCACAACTGAATTTAATTGAGCTGATCACCATAGCACGTGCATGTACATGTAACATCTCCAATGCAAATCCTTTTGCCAGGGGGTCTTTTTTCCCTGTGGTTCTTCACAGCTATGCTGCCTGAAACAACCTCCTGAAGCTGCGCTGAGCAAGGAAACGAGGAAAAAGCTCTATTCTGATAAATTAGTTTTGTCAATCCTGTTTTCTGGCCCAAGCTCTAGGAATTTAGTAATGGAGCTCTAGGAATTTATTTTMTTTTGTCCTCAGTTTAAATATCAAACTTAACAAAGAATGTTCCACTGGATATTGGTGTAGTAGTCTGTACAAGTGGGGTGACAGGTCRGGATCCTCCTGTGTGTAGCCTGGAAGCTGCGTGACCTTGACGTTCAGCCCAGTGCACGATACAGCTGAGGAGTGCTCCTAGGGGGAAATGCTGCCTCTGTCTGCTGCGGGAGATAGAGGATGCTGTCAAACTTAAAGTTGAAATGGGAGCTGTTTTGCTTCAACTTTTTTTTTCATAATAGAAAATACTGAGAATAATACAGTACTTGAACAGCTTGATGTTCTAGTCCTGTAGTAAGCTATACCTAGGACAGACTGGAACTTGAAGGGAAACCCTGTAACAGAAATAATAGTATTGCTRCTGAGCTGTAATTTTGGAAAATACTGAACCATGTTTCCCAAACCTAATTATGTTATATTTTATGATGACTATAGCTACCTAGGATTCTTAGCTGAGAGACTTGATAATTTCTGTTTTGAAGAATAGTGTATTTATGTAAGGATATCTTAATATACTTAGGGACAAGAGTGTTATCTGGGAAGTCAGGAGGTGTCATTGTCCCTCTCTATTCCTCATAAATAAGCCTGATAACCAGATAATTTGAAGCAAGTATTTTTATCTATTTTCAGGCACTTGTAAAATTCTTCTCAGGACGTAAGCCCATGTTATACAGCTTCCAGACATCTTTGCCAAGGCTGCCAGTTCCATCTGTGAAAGACACTGTCAATAGGGTATGTTGCAAGAATGTACATTTTTTGTTTGTTTTGTAACGTTGAATCCATACATAGATGCCCTGATGGTCTTTTTTTTTTTTCATGCCTTGTATAATCATTGTATAGTGGTGTTAATATCACAGAATGGTAAAGGCTGGAAGGAATTTCTAGAAATCRTCTAGTCCAACCCCCTGCTCAAACAAGGAAATATAGTTTACCTGTTTCTTATGCAGCAGTTTTAATAAAGACTACAAGAGGCCTTTGAGTAGTAGTGTGATGATTTTAAGCTAAAGGTGGCATGCTGGTTTATTGTACGATTGCATTGTGGGTAGATATGGCATCGTGTAGAGAAACATGGCTCAAAGGGGTATTTATTAGCCTTTGACAGATCTGTTTTTATCTTTCACTGTTTGAACATATAGCGTTTGCCTTAGGATACCAAATGTTATAGCAAAGTGCACAAGTAAGAATGTCACAAAAACTGATGGTTTGATTTCTAGAGACTTAGAAATTCCTCTGCCCCATCTGGAAGAAGATTTAAGCAACAAAAGCAGTTCAAAGTTTCTATGGTTTGCAAATGTGTGCTCAGAACTTGAGGCTATACGTTTAATTTGCCATTTATAGTGCTTGCAACCTTATGAATTGAGTCTGAGTGCCCTTTGTTTACTGTTCAAATGCTTTGTGAAGAAATGTCAGCAAACCATGATCAGTGACTACTCAGACACTGCTGCTTCTCTTCTAGTATCTGGAATCAGTTCGGCCACTTATGAATGATGAAGAGTTCCGAAGAATGGAGGGTCTTGCCAAAGACTTTGCGTATAACTTGGGACCAAGACTTCAGTGGTACTTGAAGCTAAAATCTTGGTGGGCCACAAACTATGTAAGTAGATAAATAGATGTACTGCCAATTGAGTTTGTTCCCTGTTGCATTTTTGTCTTAATTCTCCTTCTTTCTGATATTTAAGAGAAGGGGGGAAAAGGGGGAAGGAGAGGGCAAAAAAAACAGTGTTTTATAGAGTGCATTTGAGATTGCTTAATTTGGACAGCGGTAACTTGATTTGGGTGATGAAGTAAGCAAGCAATACAGTGAGTAGAATTTGAATGCAGGTGTCCTAGTCTTGTGTTCATTATTCTGGAGCAGGCACTTACCTGGTAGCTTTTGAGTTGTTTGTTTATTTAGCTGATTTAATACTTGGCACTTGGCCTAACTGCCCACGTAATTTACAAGAGAGATTTAAGTAAGTATTCCTGTTTAGAGAATACAGAAAAGATTTAGAATAATGTATGTTCCTTTCCAGGAAAGAAACCTGTGTCCCAACACCTCAGTGAAATATGTGTAACATAATTCCTTTCTGATCACTTAGTTGTACACAGTTACCSTTGTTTAGGCTGGGTAGCATTCAGGAGATTGGATGCATTTTAAATGTTAGCTGCAGACAACTTCTTCGGAACCATGTTATCAGAGTTGCAGCTGAAATTTTCATTTTAATTGTCTGACACTGGCTAATTTCCCTTATTAATGCAAATAGTATGCATGGAGGATGTGGTTCCTGTTTTAAGGATTATATTGCATAGAGTTGAGGTATCATTAACCTAGAGATAACTACGAGACTTTATTTCATCTTCATACTGCAGGTTAGTGATTGGTGGGAAGAATATATCTACCTTAGAGGACGTGGACCAATTATGGTTAATAGCAACTATTTTGCAATGGTAAGTAAATACTATAAATACCTCATGTCAAAGAGGCACTGTGAAAGCGATACCTTCCTTCTGGAACTCTGTTGTCACTAAGCATGTGACCTTTGTTTCTCTTCTAGTATGAGGCAGCCCATGTCCTAAAGTATACAGGTAACTTATAATGGAGGCTTAGCATGCCTACCAGGTAGGCAGACTCACGCAGCACTGACTTTTTATAGCTGTTTACTTACTGCAGTAAACACTGTATGACCTTGCAAAGGCCCCCTGCAAAATCTTGTAAATAATACGGTTCAACAGGGTTTTGTGTTCATATTCACAAGTATTTCTTTTGGARGTAAATATGTAAAAGGCCCCAAAATAAAAAAAAAAAAAACACAAGATACCACAGTCAACAAGAAATCACCAAGTCACCTCAGTAGTGTATATTGTATATTTTAAAGCCTTTTCTGTAATGACATCAGAATAATCTTCAAGGAAAAAAAGTGGACCAGAAGTACCCAAGTACTTTTCTCAGTATGATACTCAATGTGATACTCATATTAATTTCTTATGCCTATCTACTTTACAGGACTTCCTTTATTTAGTTCCTACTACCCTGCAGGCAGCTCGAGCTGGTAATGCTATCCATGCCATCCTGCTCTACCGGAAGAAACTGGACAGACAAGAATTGAAGCCAGTATGTATATTGGCTTAAGTTGTTGCTGATCTTTTCCAGCAGAGTCTGTAAGAAGTAGATTTTTAAATTTGAGGAGGAGAGGAGAATGTCTTATGCCAGAACTGCACATAAGATGTACCTGAATGTGTGGATTCAAGTGTCTGGGCTGTCAGCTAAATTGCTCATGACAAATAGGAGCTTCTATTCCCATTTGTTAAGTATTCCATGCAGCAGAAGTTATCGGTATGTACTACACATGAAAGGATGATAAATTCTGAGCTGCTGAAATCCTAGTTTCCCATCAGAAAACACTTGCATGTTTCCAGCTAAAACCATTCTTAAGGGACAATTGAAAATAATCTTTCTGCTAGCAGCAGATGAATCATGTGAAATTGATTGTRTTGTATGTGCAACTTTAAATGATACTGGAAAGCAAGCAGGACACATTTGTGCCTCAGATTTCCTTGTGTAGTTGAATAGCTTAAGTCTCCCAAATAGGGGAAAAAAATCATTAACTTGGTTTATCAAAGAGGAAATTAAAATATGATTGTAGCTGAGATTTAATCTTTTCTTAACCTGATGTAATGCTGAAACTAGGCTACTTGAAAGAAAAGGTAAATTAAAAAAAAAAAAATCCATTATTTACTCAAAGTACTTAGAGTACTTTAGGACATTGGACTTCCTGAAAATTTTGGTATCCTTCAAGCAGGCAAAAACAAGTGTTAAGGTTTGTTTCTTATTTTATTTAACCAAAACCCCAGCCTGCATACTCATTCTGTGGCAGTGAAATGGGTGCAGTATGTACTTACAGTCATACAGTTGAGGAAACATAAAGGAATGGTTTTTTTAGTGGTTGTCTTCTTTAAATAAAGCAGGTGTTCTAGAGAAAAATCTCCTGTTTGGTTTGTACGTGTTACCCAGCTCTTTGGAGCAAATTAAGAGAAATTAAGAGATGATGCCTGCTCTGTGTTTTGTTTTGCATCCAGACTGGCCCCTGGGAGCTGCTTGGGTTTCAGCTGATACTTTGCTTCCATCCACCCTTCAGAAGGGGGGCATTTTTAATAGGGAGGAAGAAAGTGCAGCTACTGGAATGTCTGTGGATTCTTCCACATGTAGTTCAAGGGCAGACGAGGAACAAAAATTTGAGTTCCCATTTTAAATCTTCTGTTCTATAACTTTTCTTTAACTAGATTTTTATAAAAACTGTGTTTTTTACTTTTTATTTGCTGTCTATGTGTAATTATGATTTTGATGTGTTGTGGCGTAGATTCTTCTCCTGGGATCTACTGTTCCACTCTGYTCAGCTCAGTGGGAGCGGATGTTTAATACCTCCCGAATCCCAGGAGAGGAAACAGGTAAGCAGGACTGGCCAAGGAGAAGGAACACCTTCAGGAAATCCAGACAGGTTTGGAGGGTATTTTCTGCTGGAAATTATATTTAAAGTCTGTCGTCTTTTGCTTGCCTCTCCTTTTTTCCATTCAGTTTCTAATTCACCCTCACCAGTGTGGTGTTTTCAGTATGAACGTATGTCCAGCGTAAGTTGCTTGTGTGGCCTAGAGTTRGGTGCAGTCTTAGTCCTGTCAAAGATTTCATCCACACTATGAACTGTGACCTTTTGAATGCATTAAAATACCCATCACACTAAGAAACTTTATATCCATTTTTCCTTAGCTCCTGCCCTGCAGCAACACCCAGATTGATCATTCTAAGTTATTCATAACTTCAGTTTTTGAGCTTTAATGCTGAATAAAGGGAGGCAGCTGTTGACCTACAGCAGAATGTCTTTCCCTTGGATCTGTTGCTCGAGTTTCTGCTTATTGTGGGATGCTTAGGGTATGTTTATGGGATGCAAGCARTCACATTAGCTCAGAAGAAAAAATTGTCTTTCAATGACAATCCGTATATGCATTTTTATTGTAGATATATTCAGATACATCTGAAGATATGTAATCTGCTCTTCCAGCTTGCCTTCGAATACCTATCTATGCCTCACGTTTTTTTATCTGTAAAACTGACAAATAGGTATCTCCCTGTCATGGAGACCTGTCATCATGAACTGTGGCATTAATTCTGGTCTTTATAGCCTTGGTTACTCTGCAGTGGACAACTATAGTGTATGAGCTGCTAGTTGGGTTGCTTCAGGTCTCAAAAGCACTTGCCTCTGCTTTCCTTCCCCACTTYCCCCGAGTGCTGTGAACCGTTTGCGTATAGCTCTGAATCTGTCTGAGCCCACACTTGCCGAAAAGTTGTAAAATTAGCGTGTTCTAACACCTATTAACACACATCCTGTACCTATTTATACTTACCCCTGTTGTTTCCTGCTTGAAGCATGTTAAGTAAAAGTAGAGTCAGCTTTGTAAATGTAACTTTCTAAAAAGGTTTTTCAATTCCCATTCTGCTTTTTGATGTTTTCATGTTTTTTCTGAAAGAAAAATACGTTGTTTTGTTCTGCCTGTGCACAAGTGACTTCTTCATTTTTCAATTAACTTACTGAAAATACATTTTTCTGAAATTCTGAACAGTAGGTTGCTTTCTTGCTGCCTCCTTTCAATGATATTTCAAGTATATTAATGCTACAGGAACAGCATTTCTCTGATTTATCAGTAATAAGAGGAAAGCATTAAATCTTAATAGACATCATAGTCTGTAATTGCTTAATTTTTGTGTSTTATGATTAAGTACATGGAGTAAGCTATTGATTTTAAACAGAGAAGTACCTTTATGTCTTTCGCATTAACTTAGATAACCCATGCAACATGTTGCATGCATCTTCAGATCTACACAAATCAATTTCTGTACCAGCAGGAAAAAATGGAAAGGGTGTTTTTTTAATTGTTTAAACAAATCTCTACTACAGGTACTTAAATCTGGGCTTGAAAGGTAGTTGTTGGTGCTGTACGATTGTTGTGAAGCCATTAGTAACCTACACCATCAATTGATCTCTCTTTTTTTGCATTTGCACTCAAGTTGTCCTTTTGTATGGACACAGCATGTACCTGACACTAGCACAGATGCTTTCCTCCTCCTGGGAGGAAGGGGAGAGTGACCTCACTACATGATTGCCCTGCTGCTTTTTTCACCCTTTTGAGGGCTGCAGGAGCAGAAAAAAAACACATGTAGTTTCTCCTCAGTTTTCAGCTCACTATATTAATGGATTTGGGAATGTACTTGAATTAAGCAGTGGTGCTTAGGCAGATCCTACTGCTTCTGCCACAGCTATCCTAGTTTTTTTGCTACTTGTTAAAAACAAGCTGTACTAACTGGTAGTACACGCAGTAAGCATTTGCTGTTACTTAATGCCAAATGTTGTATTAACATTTTGTTGTAACTGATTATAATTGCAGATACTATCCAGCATGTGAAAGACAGCAAACACATCGTAGTGTATCATAAAGGGCGTTACTTCAAAGTGTGCCTGTACCATGATGGTCGGCTGTTGAAACCCCGGGAGATTGAACAGCAGATGCAAAGAATTCTTGATGATGTTTCAGAGCCTCAGCCTGGGGAGCTGAAGCTAGCAGCTCTTACTGCAGGAGATAGGTAGGATTCTTTTTTGGTATTAATTCTAATGTTTGGAGCGACTGGCTGGTTAAGTGTTAGCTTTGGATAGGTTCAATTTGTATATTAAAAAGTACCGTAAAAGGTAAGGTTGAGAATGTGAACTCAGTAACTGCTATCATTCATGCAAAATAAAGCAGTACTTAACCAGTTGGTTCTAGATGCAAGATAACTGATTTCAGTTAAATTGTTGACAGGCTTACAGTTCAATATATCTGGCTCCTTCTGCACGAGATGACACGGGCTCTTKGTCTTGCATGTAGGCAAGCTGCTGAATTTTGGAAAATTAAGCATAAAATTARGATGATATGTGAGCTAGTTCCTGGGATTCTATTGTACATGTATTCCTAAAACTTTTCTYGGATAATATAGTTTCAATGCAATCAAAGTGGATGCTGTAAATGTGCTTAAAAATATGCCGTATGTCTTGTAGTGATCTTAACATTGCTAAAAATATTGAGTAAATTACGTAAGCTGGCTATAAACCAAATTCTTTTTACAGAGTACCCTGGGCAAAGGCTCGGCAGACTTATTTTAGCCGTGGAAAGAACAAACAGTCCCTAGATGCTATAGAAAAAGCAGCATTTTTTGTAACGCTGGATGACCTCGAGCGAGGATACAGGGAAGAAGATCCGCTGGCATCGTTGGATATGTATGCAAAGTCCCTCATACATGGCAGGTGTTACGACAGGTATGGTATTCATTTTGTGGAAAATGCCTTTTTTTGATATAGWAGTACTGATTCAATCATCTGATACATGTGAATTGATGTCTTRCAAACTGATAAACTTATGCCTGTTGATTTAAAATGAAAAATTGCATGCTTGTAGAGAGAGAACAAACTTCTTATGATCTATTTTTTTTAAATACAAAACTCCAGATTKTTGTTTTGTTTTCTTTTAAGGTGGTTTGATAAAACATTCACTCTTATTGTGTTCAAGAATGGCAAAATGGGCCTGAATGCAGAACACTCTTGGGCAGATGCTCCTATTGTTGGTCATCTTTGGGAGGTAAGTGTTTTACACACAGGTTAATACAAAAGATGATGATGTTGTCCATGCARCAGTCCTGAAGATCAGGAGGTCCCTTTAAGTCCCACGTGATTATACTGCTTAAAAGTGATTACTGCTTCTTAAAAGTGGGACTGCTTCTGTCTTACTTGGAATGTAGAATTTAAAGGAGCTTGCTAGATTATTGTAATCCAATGAACACACCAATCTTCATTATAAAACTGATAAAACTAACTTGTCTAAATCAATCAATTGATATCCTCTATGATAGGACACTGTATGCATACACAATCCTGAAGAACTGAATTCTTAAAACACGCACTTGTTTTCAAAATTTAGTGGTTTTTTTTTTTTTTTTTTTTATTCTGGAGAATGATTTGTTGTAAAGTTCATGTCTCTGTATTTGAGAATTACTATTAGTTGGCTCATTTCCTGCTAAGAGTTAAGAAAGTCTAAAAACATATAATACTACCTAGGAAATTTCCTGTGGATAGCTGTTTTTTAGACTGTCTTTTTTTAGGAAAAAAAAAATCCCATGAATTAGGTTTTTTATTTCATGGGTAGCATGTTCTGTTTCTTAAATGAGAAAGTTAATTTAATTGAGCAATTAGAAATATATATGTAGAATATGTAATAGATTTTTCTCAGGTTTTCCATTCCATGTTGAGCAGATGTTTGACTTTTACATTAAGAAAGCTCGTTGGAACCTGGTAGGACAGGGCAGCTTTTTTTCTCTTCTCTGTACTTTGCCCTGTCAATAGTAGTAAACATTACACTTTACCACCCAAAAGCTCAAAATCACAGGTGAAAATATACTGCAGTACTAATTAGGATGTAAATTTTAAAAGGAAGACCTTCTTGCAGAGGGATGTGCTGTGAAATAAACCATTTCTAGGTGAGTAAGTATTAACAGGTAACTTGCAAAATCTCTCTGGAATGTAAGTTGGGCAAACCTTGTGAAATTCAGGTCTTGCTCTACGGTGTATGTTGTTTCTTTTGTTTTAATTGAAATACGATAATTATGTCAGTAGCATGTGACAAAAGGCACCAGTGTAGCTGTGTGGGTGTTTTTGTGCATACTTGGTTTTACTTCACTCATAACAGAAGTAAAAATGCCTTAAGAGGTAGAAGAGAGAGATTTGCTTGCAGCTGTTTTCAGAATTTGAAAATGATTGTATATTGTATTTCACCGTGTATGGAAAATCGAGTATACTGATTTAGCAGTGAAATTCTACTTTAATAGCTGTATCTAATGTGTTCTAATTCAGAAGATGCTCTGTTATTTGCAGAGTGTAATGTTAACAGAGCATATTGAACTGGGCTATTCAGAAGACGGACATTGCCGAGGAGATACCAATCAAAATATTCCTATTCCTACCAAACTACAGTGGGAAATTCCAGAAGAAGTGAGTACTGGATGACTAATGGGTTGGAGAAGTGTTTGCTCGTTGTGGAGTAGTTGCCTGACATCAGTAGTTGCCTTGTTGATATAGTGTTTTAACTTCTTGAAGGTCCCRTTAGTGGTTTGCTAAAAGGTACATAGTAAGGTGTTTGCTGGAGTGTTTTTGCTTTGTTTTATGCCACTTTCAAAATTCTAGCTAGGGAACTTGTGGAACTCCTGGTAATGTGTCAAAAATAAGTGGYCACCAATTTTAAATACTGTACTACAGTGAGATCTAAGTTGTTGAGGCTTCATTGCTGTTGTTGCAATAGATATTCTCGAGTATGAGGTTTCCTTGAGACTTCTTTTATGTCTAAAGTTTTGTCTGGGTAACTAATAAATCTTTTTTTCCTGTGCGCGTTTAAGACAAACTGTCCTAATCCTATTTGAATTTTAACTTTAAAGTGGTAGTGATTGGTGAGGTGTTTGATTGAGCAGGTATGGCAGATCAGACACGACCCTTGCCATTTCATCTCTATTTTTTTTGCTACTTGAATCTTAACAGTTAGGCAAAGATTATTCCACCTCTGCTCTGAGAGGAGTAGTATGTAGACATTGATGTTGATGGGTGGCATGCATAATGGCCAGGTATCTTATTTGTCAATTAAAAATATATTTGTAACTTTTCACCGCTTTTAGGTGCCATTGAATGTACGTTTATGTATGTATTTGCACATATATAAACATTTTGTATAGATTTTAACATTTATGTAATATTGTAATGTTTATATCTTATATAATATGTAATATATAAAGTGTTACACATAACACTATAATAATTGGTGTATATGCGTGTATAATTTCCCCTCACCACTGCCTTTAGTGTCAAGAGGTGATTGAGAGGTCTCTGAGCACTGCAACAGCTCTGGCGGATGACGTAGACTTCTGTTCGTTTTACTTCGATGCCTTTGGGAAGGGACTAATCAAGACAGCAAAAGTCAGCCCTGATGCCTTTGTGCAACTTGCCTTGCAGCTTGCTCACTATCGGGTAAGAACAGATTGTTTTGATCTTACAGAAGCTCATTAATCACAAGTATACAAAGGTACCACATCTAATTTAAAAATATATGGCTGAGTAAAGCACATGAGTGTGAGTCTGCAAGACTATTACAGGTATTTGGCAGAAGCTGGAACAAGCTTCCAAGATTATTAACTCAAAATTCATTGTCCAAGGGTTGTCCTTTTGACACTTGAGCAGATTTTTCTCCTCTGACTAGAAACAGATCAACTACGTGTTTTGAACTTGAGAGCAGTAGATAGGAAAATTGAAGTAGATRTTACTAACTTTATAGTCTAAACCATGTTAAACTTGTTTGGAGGCTCCTCTAGTTCAATAATTGTGGGCACTCCCTAACAAGATTAACGATGAGATTACTGCCTGTGTTTTCTTCCTAGTTTGTCTTTTCTATTACATGCTTTAAAACAACACCTACATATTAGATTTCATCTGTTTTGTTTGGCTTGTTAAGATATTGCCTTGCTATATGTAATTCCAAATGGAATGTCAAAACATGTAGGTTTCCTGGTTGCTCTCACCACTTAATCTTTGCTGTTGGTTAGGGTGGCTACGTGGCAAATAGTTTGATTTATAAACTAATATCATTTAGTAAGCTTTAATCTGTAGATCACGTGCGTCTACAGGAAATACAGGAGTCAGGCTTTTTGGTCTAGCTGACCTTTTTCAGTTCTCTTGTACTTGAAATTCTCTGTTCTGCCAGGCCTCTCCATGCTGCAATAAAACATATTTGTGAAAAAGCTCCTAAGGACATGATAGTTTCCTAGACTTTTTACCACAGCTGTGTGCTTACTGATGGCTTTGAATTGGGTTCAGTTGTAAAGAGGCCAAAGAAGAGAGTGTAAGATGTGTAAAGTAGTAATTTGACTTTTCTGATGACACTTACTGTATTGCTGTTGCTCATCTTAGTTTGGCTTGATTGTCTTCAGGTAAGATGGTGAACAGTGATCTACTTAAGTGTATGTTGTTGAGTTTAACTTGGGGAGTGATTCATATCCTGTATGCTTACCTTGAACTCTTGCTTAAGAAAGAAGAGCAAAGTCTAGGTAAACTTCTGAAGTTGTTGTTTTTCCTCTTTCAAGGACATGGGGAAATTTTGTTTAACTTACGAGGCCTCTATGACCCGCTTGTTCAGGGAGGGCAGGACTGAAACTGTTCGCTCRTGTACTGTTGAATCCTGTAATTTTGTTCGCGCCATGGAAGATCCAACTGAAACTGTAAGTTTACTATGTTATTTCCTGATATGTTGCATGAGGCAACGCGTTATCACTGCATCGCCGTATAATTCCCAGATAGATTTTAAACACTTAAAACCAGATGTGTTTGTTTTGAGGAATAAACTGCAACATAAGGTAATTATCTACATTCTCTGACAATGACAGGACTTCTGAGACTACAACAAAAAAGAATGACAGTAACTTAATCAGAAACACTGATTTTTACAACTTGGAAAACTAAAATGACCCATGAAACTTCAATGATTTGTGAATCTTTGTAGATCTGTGAAAAGTAAATTATGTCAGTTAAGCTTTCCTTTCTGATAAGGAAGCCAATATTCTTGGGAAGAAACAGTTGATTTCATATGTTAATTTCAGTGGAGTTTCAAACTTTATGTTCCAATCAGCCAGTAAAGGAATCATGCTCTAAGTGGAAAGCTTCTTAGTTTGGAAAAATTGGACAATACTGATTGAAAGATTTGTTGTCCAAGTGGAAGAATGTATTGTCAGGTGAAAGATACTGTCTGGTGTCACAGCGATGTTGAGGATGGTTTGTCTCGAATTCATGCTAGTCATTATTTCATTGATAGAGCTGATGAAATAAAATCTGCAAATTTAATAACCTAAGCTGAAAGAGATTTCCATTTTTTTGAGGCAGATGAGTGGGTGTTTTTCTACATTTTGTAGCTGTATCTAAATAATAGTGTAGATGCTGTTTTGAGCTGACAATTGAGAGCAGTTAGCTTGGCGAACAGACCTAATGTTTGACATCAGATCTGTAAATCATTCTACTTCTTTCAAATTCATGTTGCCTTTTTCTGCAGAAAAATGGAGAGGACTGTTCTCTTCCCACAAAGCTTTACTCTGGAATACCAATGATAGGGATGCTTGGCGTGGCTACAAAGAGTTTATCTGCTTCTCTTGCTAAGAGCAAATAGGCTGCCTATCATTTCCCAAATCGATAGAATCAACTTGTCATAGYGCAGGTAGCAAGTGATAGAGCACCGTATACTCAGTTGCCATTCCACATTAAAAATTCTAATGAAATGCCTGCCTAGAAGTGAATTTTAACAGACATTTTGCATTTACAGTACATTTAAGTGGTGTTCATTTACAGTACACTTAGTGTTGTCTATCTTGGTTCTGAAATGGCTCTTGCAACTCTTTCTTTTTTAAATCTATAATTTGCTGTTTGCTTTTYTATAGCTTTCGAAGGCCAGTATCTTTAGAGGATAAGTTCAGCAGGGAGTAGTAAACTCAAATTGTAATCACSTGGTTTTCATGCTATTTGATTTTGTGGCTGGTCTTACTTAAAATGTAAATGTTTTATTTATGCATGGTCTTTAATAGGAAATAATCAACACTTTTCTTACATAACTGAATTGAAAAGTGACACACTGAAAAATGAGAGGATCTGGATATTCGATGTTAGATGCGTTTATTGCCTTGTTCATCATAGGCTTGAGAGCCGTTGCTGTAATGTGGTTTCTGCATTCTACCTTTTTTCTGTGATTTTCTTTCATCAGAATGAAAACAAGCTCAAGCTCTTGAGGGCTGCTACTACCAAACATCAGCTTTTATATCGTCTTGCAATGACTGGTGCTGGTATTGATCGTCATCTGTTCTGCCTTTATGTCGTGTCCAAATACCTTGCTGTTGATTCTCCTTTTCTTAAAGAAGTAAGTGGATTTCATTAATAATTGTTAACCATGCTAACTAACCCTCTGTTTACTTAAACATCAGCAGAATCAGAAAAACATTAAAAAAAAAAACAAACAAACAAAACAAAACTATCTTTCCAAGAAAAAAAGGTAGGTTTAGATGGTGGTTGTGGTGGATCTTCTTAAAAAAAAAAAAGACCTGTTAAGCAGACAGTATCAGTGGATGGTTCTGTTTTCAGAAAAGATTTCAACTGAAAAATATTTCCATTCTCTAAATTGATATTAAGGCCTTGCATGTTAACTTTTTCCACRTAAAGACTGGTGTTTTGCTGCTTTTCTAATATCAGTTGTTCATTCTATTGAAGTGTGAACTAGAGTTAATTCTTACTGTTGCTTTATTGAATATTTTCTAAATTATCTTGTTGTTGTATGTTGAAGTGTTATGTTTCTTTACATCCCTTTCCTATCTATTATAGGTTTTGTCAGAGCCTTGGAGGCTGTCAACGAGCCAGACGCCACAGCAGCTTATTAATCTAAAGAAGAACCCTGAGATGTTATCCTGTGGTGGAGGGTTTGGGCCGGTATGTTAGCTAACTACAAAAGTAACCATTTTAAACACAGGTCTGTGKTGAAAGCGCTAGTCTAAAAATTTCAGTTCCATAATACCTTAACATTGCACTTCAAAGGTTTTTGAAAGGAAATATGTTACAGATCATATTCAGACAATGTTAATTCCATACACTTCAGATGAGATGTTTCCCCTAAGCAACAGCACTTTCTAAAAATGTTAYATAAAATGTGGAAGATATCTTTGCTTAGGGAAAAAATTGGAACTGACTTTAAARGTTTCATAGAAAATAACTGTAATTGTGTATCAGATGAACGGAAAAATAGAAGGGGGTGGGGAGTGTAAGCAATCACTTTTTTTTTTTCCTCCAGGTGGCTGATGATGGTTATGGTGTTTCTTACATTATCTTAGATGAAAATTCCATCCACTTCCATGTCTCCAGCAAATTCTCATGTTCTGAGACGGTATGGGACAACCCTTTTCATTTAATAATTGTATTTTTATCTTTACTTATAAAGACCATTTTGCTCATTGTTGAAAGACTTAGCATGACTTGCAACACACAGTCTCTTCTATCTTTATATATATATATATATATATATTTTTTTTTTCCCCCTCAAATTCCATTAATTGCTTGATGAAGTTAGGAAACTGGATTATCTTTAACCAGTGCTTTCAGGTGAAATCAAGTATGTGGCTCAAGGTCATCTTTAAACACGTGTAGTTTCCTGGAACTTGAGCAAAATAATGTTTATCTGTCCCATGAACAGCCAGACAGGTGCCTCCCACTCCCACTATTTGCTACAGTTTTGCTTTGACTTGGCTCTGGGCCCACTTGTAGAGAGAATATAAAATAATGCTCCCTGGTGGTTTTTTTTTTTTTTTTTTTTTTTTTTTTAACTCCTAGGTCTAAATAATACTGATGGAAATTACCAGTGTGTGAGAAACACTTAGAGTTAAGATTTTTTTGGAATAAAAAGCAAGTATTAGGTTCTAGTGGAGCTTATAGCATGTCCTGCTACTGTGGAAGCCTGCACCGAGTGACCTTCAATTCATCCTTCCTTTTCATATTTTATAACTTCAAGCTTGATGAGCTCTGCCCTCATTACATACATCTCGCCTCTTTCAGCCTTCAATTGCCTGAGAAATATTGATGCCTTTGGTTAATCATTAAAGATAAACTATACGAGAACAAAGTATTTCCTTAAATTATTCTTCAGATGTCTCAGTTTGTACTTTGAATTTCCCTGTTTTTTTTCTAGTTATCGGTCAAAGTTCCATACAGAAAGAAGGTGGCACTTCTTTGTATGCCTGGCCTTGATTTTACCAGGATAGCTTTGTCTGTAGTAGGTCATATAACGTCACTAGTAATTTACACTTATCTTTCTTCCTTGTACCATTCATCTGACACAAGAAACAGGGCAGGATCATAGTTTGCTAATGCTTTAGGTCACTTGATTATTTTCACTACTTGGTACAGTTCTTCATTGACAAAAAAGCAGATGCAGATATGAACTCACATATAAAAGATTGCTCTGACTTTTGGCACTTACAGGTCGTCTTCCTTGTGCTTTCTCCTTCTTATGGCCCTCTCAAAACCAGCTTTTGCGCAGTCATCTTTTATAAACTAGGGTATCTATTGTTATTCAAAACAAACCAAAACAACAAAAAAGCTATGGATGAATGTGATTTCAATAAGACTATCTGAGTTCTGTTTGTAGGAGAGTAGATTCATAATGAAGGACTCTGCATTAGTAGCATAAACCTGGGTTATTTTATATTGCATTAGAACTTTTTTTAGATCAAATTACAAAATATTAAAAGATTTATGTCTTTGAAAGATAAGTGGTGTCTTGATACAGCTTTTTTGTTTTTTTTTCTCTTTCTAGGATTCTCATCGTTTTGGAAAAAACATCCAAAAAGCTATGATTGACATCATGTCTTTATTTGGCCCTACTAAAAACTGTACCAAGTGACTTGCCTTACCGGTGGGAAGTAGACTCTGTTATTGGAATGAGAACTTTTCTGAACAGTGCACGAGAGCAAGGTTTGTCAAGAAATAGCTCGAAAAGAAACCGAGTCTCCATCCCCTCAATCACCTATGAAAACCTTAGCAGTTGCTTGTATTCCATGATTTTTCAATAGTTTGGAAGAGTTTCTTTCCACAGAGGACCACTGTTGAAGTTTTGTATAYTCCCAAGGGTTAAAGGATAGCACCATTGCATGAAGGCATGTATATTCAACTACTGCAGTTTTCTCCTAAGTTGTATACAATTATTCTCTTTCTTTTGCTTAAAATTGGAATGTACTTTTATTCCATAAATGAAGGAATTAACCATATTGAGTCTTAACCTACTAATCCTAGAAAAGGTTTGATTTGATATGAATTAATAGCAGAACATTCATGTTTTATGTCAATGAGTGACAGATTTGTTTAATTTGACCAGTTTTGGAAAGGTAACTTAACATACAGGAAAAAAACCTTCATATGACCCAGTGTAACCAAATACTACTGTTTCTTTTGGGGGGGAAGTATTTGCTAGAATAGGTAGTAGAATGTGTCACCTAAGTTAGCAGGTTTCACTCATTCTAATTTCTTACAAGCATATTTACCACATTTTTTAATTATTTCTGTATAAATGGACCTGCATGCTTGTTCATACCGGTGCCTTAGCAAACAAAGAACCTAAACAAGGGAAAATGTTAACACTGGGGGTTGGTTTAGCWTTATTTTAGTGGTGGACAAGTGGAAGTAGTGCTGCAAATTTAGTTTTCAAACTGTAACTTAGGTGGGTGTGACACAAGCAGACTGGGATATACTTCTGAATGGTGCATTTAGGTTTAAAGCTGTAATGAAACACTCTTATCTCGCATGGCAGGAGATGGGTCCCTATGCAAAGCAGGAGTAACTTTGTTTCAGAGCCACAGACGCTCAAAGGCCTCCTTAGCCGGGTGGTATCAGCTGTCATCTGAGATAAGAGCTCCATGTTACGCACAGTTTCTGGGTCCTAGGAATGTAAATGCAATTCAATTCAAAGCTGCTGGATAGCCCGCAGACACCGCACAATCCAAGCTTGCTTCCTTGCAGCCTGGAGGGACCACTAGCACCCTGCCAAGCTTTTCTATGAGAGAGGCTGCCYGTGAAGGCAATGGGTGCAGCCCCAGAGCGGGGAATCGCCACCCCCTCAAAGCCACCGCCGCAGGAGAGGGCCTTGATGGCCGGAGCCATGGCATGGTTGCTGAAGGATGCCGTGAGGAAGAGGTTTTCACTCAGGAAGTGGCATAATGTTTCCYGGGAAGTTTAAGAGCTTGCAGCTACTGTAAAAGCTGAAATTGCTTTGCATGTGGCTCTTCCTAAAGCTTTATGGATGTAGCTACTTTTTGGATTGCACAGTGCTGTAAAGTGTACCTGTCAGAGCAACAATGTTTTCTTTCAAGAAGAGRGTATTCAGTACTACAGTGAATGCTGCTGCAGAGCTGGGCTACCTTTAAAAGCCCCTCTGGCAGTTGATAATGACACTGCTTAGATTTGGGGGTGTTCTGGCCTGTATTTCTAACTTTTTGTGCCTCTTCACTTTTTTTTTTTCCACTCTGATCTAGATATCAAAATTCCCGCCTCAACTTTTGAGGTGGGAAACCTCAACAGATGCATACTTGAGGCAATCCATGCTTACAGGAAGGCAGGAATCCCCCCAGAAATTGGCCAAAGATCCTCTTCATTCGGTAGGCTATGGTGTGCAGGCAAGGAGGTGTTGAAATAAGACTTACTGCAGCTAAATGCAGGCCTGGCATTTATCAAACTGCTGCACCATCTGTCTTCATAGTGACCTGTTCATTTGAAGCTGCAGAAATAATGCACTGTTTCATTAACCACTGACCAATCTGTGCTTACAGTAATATTAAGGCCTATTAGTTTATAGCATTTTCTTAAAAGTTTAGATTTGACTCTCAGGTTTTAAATGTTTCGAGTCTAATTGTAGTTAGTGCAGTTATCAATGCAATTTTACCTTCTTAAGGAGAGAGTAAGTATAATTGGCACAGGAAGTTGGTTTTTATTGTAAATGTTTAAAAGGGTGGTGTTTATGAACATTTTTTGTTTTGTTTTTAATTGGGGTAGATCATAATTCCTAAACAGAATTTTATTTCACTTTCTTTAAAATGTCTACAGCATGTAAATAAAATATGCGTTTTGGATGTAAATCTTAGAAATGCACAGTGGATGTAGGTTATTAATAAATAATTTAAATCTTGATGTTGAATATTATGTACATACAGTAAAACTGCTTGCTTTTTTTTTGCTCAAAAGCCATAGGAATGTAACTGAAATTACATAGATTTGAATGAATTTTCTAATACAGTGTACTTTAATATTAGGGTTAAATTGTATTTTGGAAAAAAAATGATTTATCTGTTACTGAAGCCTTGAATCTCACATTCTCAGTGATTAAAGGGCTCAAAGTTTAAGTCAGGTTGGGTGATAATTGACCTGTTTCTTCCACAGCAGTGAGGACTTGATGGAATATCTCAACTGTGCATTTTCAGCATTTCTTACCATTCCAGCTATTTCATGTGAGAGACTGGGAGATCTTAGGAGCATTTGGAGGCTACTGTTGTCCAGGAGTAATACCACACCAAACTAAATACTGAGGGGTGGGTTTTTAAGGGAATAAGGACGTAGGTGCCTGACCTTGAAAATCATGGTTCGAATTTAGCCTTTGTACCAATTGCTTTCTTTATATAAAATGTATTAATTTAAGCTAGTTTTTATCTTGTTTACTTAACTCTACTTCCTTGGTTGACTATTTACATCCGGCACTTTGTCTCAAATATATTTATGTTCTACCCTCTTCTATGACTTGGAAAAAAAAAGTAAATAAAAAATAAAACTTCACAATTACCACTATTTAATGCAATGTTTAATGTCTCATTCCATCTTTTTCTGATYGCCCTTGCTGCTGTTTCTGGATTTGTAAAGCTGCTGTTACCAAGTCCAAGTAACTTTAATTTGGTAGGAATGGCAGCTGGAGACTGTTGTGTCTGTGTTAGCGGTGATTTAGGGAGCTGTGTAACGGGGAACACATGAACAAACTGCYCTGCAGGCTCAGGAGAGGGGAGAAAAAAATGTTACTTAGGTCAAAAGCTCCAGGGAACCTTCCTGCAAGCTGGTAAGTGACCCCAATTTGTTCCTGGCAGTGACTGTAATTTTAGACCTGGCTGATCCAGTGCCCTCCAAATGTTTAGAAGGAAAAGGAAGTGCAGGAGGTGAGGCCAGAAAGCTAAAAAGCTGAAAGGCTCTGTGTGTGTGTGTGTGTGTGTGTGTGAGTGTGTGTGTGTATGTACAGTTTTTCATTTATATATACGTATATACGCGCACACACATACAAAAAACACAAATCAATGTAGTGCGTGTATATATATTTTTCTTTTATCTGAACATTTCAAGGACCTGAAAACTTTGAAATTGCTTTAAGAGTGGTGCCAGCTTTCAGGCACTTGCTTTATGCTTGCCAAAAGGTCACTTGCTCACTTGTTGCTGCTTTTTTCTTTTTTTTAATTGCTGCTGAAAATAAGCCTTTCTGCACACATTGTGGCTTGAYTTTTGCACTTTTCGATAGTTGTTTTTTCCCCCCTGTTTCAGAGCTGAGGCCGGAGGCAGCACCCCGGGCCCACACCACGTCTGCACCATGGCTGTTTGCAAGGGCTTCCTCCCCCGTGTCGGGAACAGGGGCTCCCGCGCGGCAGGAGCCCCGCTCCGGGCAGAGCTGCCCTCAACTCACAGCTCCCTTTCCTCCGCTCCTCGCGCTCACTGGAGGCGGCGGGGGGGAGATGGGTGGGGCGGTGCCTCGCGCCTGCCCGCGGCCGTTAACGGTCGGGCTAACGGTCGGTCGCCTGCTCCCCTCAGAGCAGGCGAGAGCGGGAAAGCGCGCGCGGGCGGGCGCCATGGGGGAAGGTGAAGGGCGAGAGGGCGATGGACGGGCAGGGGCGAGGGGGAAGGAGGCTCATCCAGGCCTTGGGGGGCGGAGAGGGCTGCCACGGAGCAGGAGCTCCGCAGGCTCCGAATCCCGAAAAGGCGAGGGTGCTGCTGGCCGGGCTCAGCCTCCATGTGGTCGCTTGAGGACGTCCCTCATCAGTGGCATGGAGCTAAAACAGCATTTGCTTTTGAGCTGCTAGTGTGCAGTGCCTGATTCGATTTATTCTTTTTTTTTTTTTTTTTTTAATGGTTTCCCAAAGCTAAGTATCATCTCTCCAAGCCAAGCATGAAATCCTGGTCTAAATCTGAATGGTGTTGTGTAAGTTAGATGTGTTTTGCTGTTGTTGTTTCTCTAATGTGTAAGTAGTTTTTTGCGTTATCATTGTGACGTGTACTTTTGGGAGACAACCAGCAATCCCTGCCAACTTTATGCTTTGAAATATTGCTGTTTCATTTTGTTTTGGTTAATCTTAAGTATTATTTGTAAGTGCCTCTTAGTTTAAGGCTGTTTCGTTCATTTCTAGATCTAAAAGCTTCTCCGAAGAATACTGAACTAGAAAAGTTGGTCATCTTCAAAGAAAAGAACAGATATGAACCACCTGAGAGTCTTGCTGTGGCTATGGAGAACCAGATACTGCTTGACATAAGATCAGTTATAGATGGTGGACTTGTAACTGAAATATTTGGCCAAAACAGTCCAGTTAGCTCTGAAAACTTTAATTTGGAAACTACTTTAATTAATAATCCCCTTGAAGAGGGGTTGGCATCTGGTCAAGACAATCACTTATGCACTGTAGCAGTGGGAGAGACTTTGTTAGATCATTTTAAGTATCCCCTTGCTTTTGAAAATCCAAATGCGCTAGCAAAAGTTGAAGTATATCCACACGCAAACAGCAGCAGTGACCATGAAGATACTGAAAAATACAAGGAATTGAATTACCTAGAAGAAGCTGAACGTATGCATTCCCCATATCTGGCTTCAAATRGTGTCCATTTTCTTTCTTCTGTAGTGATGCAGCATAAAAATTGCAGTGATCCTTCTTCAAGCACTTCCTCTCTAGAAGGAGCAGTTGGTCAGAATGTCAGAGTGATTCCAGTAAGATTAAACAAAATAGGTTTTAGCATTGTTTGTTTGTGATTCAAGTGTGGGATTTTAGGTTAAAATTCACGTAGGCTCCGTACCATATTTAAAGTTGGGCATAATTTGATACTAGAACAAATTTAGTAGTAATACCAAATTGGATTTCTCCATTATATTGCTAAAAATAGCACACAGTGAATGTATGTAAAAAAGTAATATACTTGCAACAGTAAATTTTGGTCTTGTTAGCTCCTCATGCACAAAGTAGTTTGGCAACAGGGGTTATTAGATTTTATTTTATTTTTTTCCTGATTGGTTAAAGTTCATGCTTCTGTGTTGGATAAATTACCCTCTAGAAAGGTAGTATAAAACATTTGTGATATTCTCAGGACTAAGTCCATGATCAGTGCTTCATGCAGACTGTCCATATTTATGATGTCTTTTTTTTTTTTTTTTTTTTTTTTTAATAATTTCCCTTTATAGCTGCAGAGTACCTGAAAAAAAATCCCTAAATTTTCCTTTTGTACTATGGTCACCTATCAGAGGCACCTATCCTCTGAGCAGCTATCTTGAAGTGATTGAACTTCTGGTTGACATTTGTTCCACATTAATAATTTGATAAGGCTAAATCCTAATTCCTAATCTAGCAAGCGGGCTCTGAGATTGCCCTGTGGTCCCCTCGGGGGAATCCGTGGTGCCCCCAGCAGAAGCCAGGCAGAACCTTGGTAAACCTCCCATCGAAGAAACAAAAAAGCCAATAAATCTGAGCACCGCCAAACCCACTGGGTTTGAGACTTCATCTCAAGCTACTTGAAATCTGCTGTGTTGGTCATCTTATGTGGCTTAGCTTCCTTTCTGATTTGAGATGGCAGATCTGGTTTAAAGGCATCTCTCTTTGGAAGGCTGTTGACACAGGTGACCTACATCACCAGTAGTCCTTTAATCACCTGTGTCTTCAATCTTTTGAACCATTAATGAGATGCCGAAGGGTGGTGGAAGCCTCTGGAAAGGAAAGATCCAATTAAGGCATTGCAGTTTAGTCAGGCTGAACATGCTTAGAATTTGTTAGGCTTCGCTTTGTCCTACAAGGGACTAAAATAGGAGACTCGGACAAAACCTGTGTCCTTAGAGTTTATCACGGTGTGTCCACATGAGTGCTGAGTTTGCCCTGTTTTCTCAAGGTCTTAGAACAAACTTATGGTAAGTTTACGGTGCTTTTTGTGAGTGGAGAAAGCTGATAGCCTGTTTAGGTGCTGCTCACTTGATGTCCTATTCTGTTACCTATATTAAGAGGAGCACATACGGATAAAGAGCAAGTAATCTATTTTGAACAATCCTGATTGTAATTCGGTGCTGCGGATTTATTGGTTTGTTTTTGTTCTTTTTTCACAGCTGTTTAATTTGAAAATTGAAATGTAGGTATTAATGCTAGTGTATTACATCCAAACCATATCTGTAAGGTAAATGGAAAATGGGGACATTCAGCTTTCACTGTTATCACTGGATAGGTTGCAACACTTACATGTCTAATATATCCTACAATATAAATGACTTCCAATTTTCAATGCTGCTGTAAGATAGTTTTTTGGTTTGGCTTTTTAAAAATCAGACAATTATTGCATAGAATAGTTACAAATAAAATGTTATTTTCTTCAGGTGTTCAGGTCATTAATACCTCAAGTTGCAGGTGAGAATAGCTATATTTCCTATGATCATTTCAAAGGAATCCATAATGGTTCTATGCAGTCACAA